GGGTGGCCAGAAAAATTGCTCTTCCCACCCAAGTCCCATGAAGGGAAAGTCTGGCTCCACCCCACAGGCAAGTTCTGCAAATGGAGTTGGTCACATGTCAGAGTTATCCCAACTGAGGGACAATGGAGCTGGAAGCTAGATCCCTGCCCCAGCAGTCACTGTCAGCTCTAATACTCCATGCACTTAAGCCACAACCATAGGTGGTTCCTGAAATTAGGGGGCCCACATACTGGCTGTTGGCTGGAGTGTACAAAATTTAAAAAGGATCTGCGCAAATAAAGTTAGGGCACTGACACAACTTACTCAAAAAGTTTGACATACCAGTATCACACAGCTTCTAAGTGTGGGAGCTGGAATTCCAGCAGGGATGATTCCAGCTTCTAAGTGTGGGAGCTGGGATGCCTACACTCCATCTCCTCCCTGGAGAACTAAAATCACCCAGAAGTCTGGTTAGTTTGCCTTTGGGCAATAAATGCTTCTTGAATGACTGCCTTACTGAAGACCTGCTGAGTGGCCACAAGATTGACTGCAGATCCAGTATGCCTGGGATCTCCACAGAGGAGAGCCTCATGAATTTTCAGAGATAAGATAGGAGTAACAGAGTCAAGACAAGGAACAGCTGGGTCTGGATTCCCTGGAAAGTCTGGGCCAGAAGCCAAGACTAGATACAAGGAGCAAAGTTGAGTGGCCAGATCAGGGGCCAGTGAGCCCCTGGTGAGCTGACTAGAGTCAATAAGCCAGGCGAGGACAAACAGGCGCTTGAGGGGAGGAGACCCAGATCTCCAAAAGATCATAAATACTTAATTAATCTGAGGTTTACTGATCACCTACTACATGTCAGATACTGTACAGGGATGGGGATAGAGTGGCAAATGTATTTCAAAAAAGCTTTGTCCTGTGTGCTCCCTTTGTAGTGAGGGTAGAGACAGAGGCAAACACAACAAACAAGGATATCATAAAGTAGGCAGTTCTACCTACTATCCAGAAATAAAGCAAGAAGAGTCAAAGGGGCCAGGGTCTGAGGGGAGGTATGGACACAGTTGGTGGAAGGACCATCTCATGTGGAAAGGGTGAAGAACCTGGCCCAGTGTGCAGTATCCGTGCAATAAACGTTAAGGTGTGACTCCCACTACAAGCAGGGGAGCAAACTCTTCAGTGATCCCGGAGTTAGTTCATTGAGCTTCATGCCAGGATCCTTATCTTTACTACCTATCAGGGTTCAATAATGGGAGCTCATAGGTATTAACTTGGATTCGTTCCAGGAGAAGATAGGTTTCTAAGCAAAATGGAAACTGGTGAATATAAGCAATCATAAAAACCCAAGGTCTTCCCTGTGGGTACAAAGATCAGAGAGCAGGTAGATATAGAGTTTGGAGTTCCACCTGGCTAAGTCAGGTGGATGAAGTCCAACTGCCGGGCCTGTGTGTGGTGGGAGATGCAGACGCCAGCCTCTGATCCATTAGGCAAGTGAGGTGCTGAGCAAGAAGCAGAGGCAGAAGCTGAGATGTGAAAATGGATAAACGAGCTGAGGCAAGGAATGCTAAGGGCTTTCCATGGCCTCACTGGCTGCTGAAACCGACAGTAACATAAGTAACTCCAGCCCCCGTTCAGTCTCAGCTGAGGCCTCTGACAGCTGCTGCCCTGCTCAGGACAGACATCAGGGGAAACAGGCAGCATCTACAGCTGGAATTTCCAGTGCATCTCCTGAATTCTCCCAGCTATATTCTGCAATATGCATCCCCCAGTGCTCTTAGCTCAAGATTTTGTGTCATGACCAACTTTAGAATACAACTTCACCACCCCCATTCTCTAGCCTGTATCAATTTATCCCCAGTTAACCCCATTAAACTCCAAGGAACGGTTCCAGAAGCACCTGCAGAATGCCAGGTTTGTCTCATGGTGTTTTTTTCCCTATTCCTTCGCCTTCTTAACTATCCCAAGCAATCTCCAGGCTGACTTCTAAATGAGCACCTGCAGCATGCCAGGCATTGTCATCATATAGTCTTCAGAGCGCCTCTGCAAAGGATTTACAATATCCATTTTACAAAAAGGTAATTGGAACTCCATGGTGTAAGGATACTAAATAAGGAAGCATGAACCCAGAGTTCTAACCCAGGTCTATGTCATTCCACACCATGTTCCTTCCCTAAATCCATGAAACCTCCAGCCAATTTCTCAACTGTAAAACAGATTCAACAATACCTACTTTATATGGTCATTCAGAGATTTCACTGAGAATCTATAAAGCACCCAGCATAGCCCCTGGAATTCTCAGCAAGTGCTATTCAGTGTAGTAATAGAGGTGACATCATCCTTCAGCCTTCCTGAGAAAGTCTGCTCATTGCTTTGAGGATAAAAACAGGATGGAAAGGCAATGGATCCTTGGCAATCCTTAACAACTTCTCCCCAAGAGAGGAAGCTGCTCCCCAAATTCTGAGCACTCATAATTCTGACAAAGCAGGTGCTCATTTGTTGAGAATCAGGGCCACACACAAGTCAGGAGCATTTATTCAAGTATTAAAAGTCAGCCTGTATGGCCCTGCCATTAAACTCCCTCTGGGTGAGCCAGGTTAACAGTGGGGCCTCATGTGATAAGTCATTAATCTCCGCGTGTAATGCAAGAGTCGTACAACTTACTTCAGCCCTAATCTCCCATGAGTTACAGCCTCTTCTGTGATTCATAAAACAAATCAATCACGCCTCCCAGGCTCTCATCTATTTATTACTGCTTTTTAAATGCTTGGAGAGGGAGAACCTGGTAGATGTTTTGCATTCTTCCCCAGCTGGGCCAACCTTCACAGGCTGCAGGAAAATGGACTCTGTGCCCCAATTCAAGTCACAGACTAAGCGTAGTTAAATTCTGAGGCTTACAAGAAGCTGGTGATCTTGCATCAGTGGCATCTAGGAAGTATCTCCCTTTTGCTCAGAGTAGGCAATGGGGGCAGGCCTGGGCCTCACCAACTTGTGTCTAGAAGGCTCATTCTCCTGGTTCTAGTTGATACCATCTAAAAACCTTTCCCTGGCCATCCAGTGAAGGAAATCCTCCTTGGTGCTTTCAATCACTATTTTCCACCTGATTGCTTTCTGGACCATCCAATTTGAGTGGGAAATCATGGCTCTGTTTATTTTTTTGTGGTATCTCTGTATATGCATGTGAATTTCTAACTCAAATTTAGATTGTAGGCATCTTCTGGTCAGACTCGTCACCACCCAGCACCTACTTCAGTACCTATCATGTTATAGGTGCTCAGAAAATGTGTGCAAATGATTGTGTTGCCTTATTTCATTTCTATTACAACCCTCAGAGAAAGGGATTAGTAAGCCCATTTTAGGGATGAGGAAACAGAAGCTGAAAGACTCAAGTCACATGTCCAAGGTCAAACAGTCAGGTATTGAACCAGGTCTCTGCACTCCAAAGGTCATACCAACACCCTCTCTGTCCTTGGTGTGAGAATGGAGGAACAGTTTTAAAGAGAAGATGTGATATGATCACAGGTACTGGGAGGAATACAGTAGACAGCAAGGAGGCAGGCTCGATAGTCAGCTGGCATGAACACCTTGACACCCACCAGATAACCCAGTACTCTGGGGTGACAGCAAAATGAGCATTCCCCCATGAAACTCTGAAAGCTGCTACCCGAGACTATGGATTGCTCTAATTTTGCCTTTAGATATGAAGACTTATCCACCCCCAACCCTCCTGTAACACTGTCCTCTTCTGGTCTCTCATTGGTTCAGGCAGTAGGTGGAACTGACTATGGACACTGAGAAGGGGCAGGGTTCAGGGCAGAAGGTGATATAGTTCATGGTCAGGATGGGGTGGAGGAGGAGCAGAAGCAAGGTGGGAACAGAGACATGAGAGAACACCCACTGGCTAAATCTGATTCAAAAATCCCAGATTCCAAGGTCAAAGGTCTTATACTCCACAGCACAGATTTCACCGTTTGTTGTGCAATGACACCCCCAATGACACCCTCCACCTAGGGTTGCTCCAGAATGTTACAGTCCAGGGATCAGGCCTGTTTATGAATGTGCCCTGGCTTCATGCCAATAGCTGTGTGCTATGTGGTCAGCAGTCCTGAGCCTGGAGGAAAGGAACCTCCTACCAACCTGAGATTACCAAAGAATGTTGTAGAAGAAGAAGAGGAGAGAAGGAGACATGGCCTGGAACTCTCAGAATAATCTGCAGGCTATGAGGTTCAGGATGAAGCAGGCCTCCCGCAGGGTGCTGGTCAGAACAGAAGTAGAGGAAGAATGACAATCTGAGTAGACTGCAGGCACCCTGAGAAGGTAGCTGCTCCCAGAAAGCAATGCACCTCTCCTCATAAGCAGCATGGAAACCCCTTTCTCTAAAACAGAAACTAGCTAAGCAGGGCCAAGGGAAGCAAAGAGGACATAGGAAAAGATGTTTCTCATCCTGCCTGTGTGTGCCTATGCACTCACAAATACGAATGCACATGCCCAGGTGTGCCTACATGTCTTATATTTGCAAAATGAGAGGAAGAGGAATCAGAAAGTGGAGGATGGGATAAACGTGGTGACCCAGCTAATGTAGATGTGTCAGCAGTGGTCAGTAAGAAACAAAGACCAATACATATCATTAACCAATCTGCTGGTATTTACTGATCTTTACTGTAAGCTAAGTATGGCTGGAAGCACTCAGGACACTGTGGGAAATGGCACAGATGTGAAGGCCTGACTCTCTCTACAGTGGCAAATGCAGGCCAACAGTTTATATGCTGAGGCATATAATAAGGTAGGTAAAGGGAAAAAACTGTGGGAATGAACATCAGAGGATTCATCCAGTCTGAGGAATCAAGAAAGCCTCCCTAAAGATGCCAGAAAGGCAGCTGTGCAGGACCAAGGGGCCCAACCTTCTGATACAGAACACAGAACAAGGGAGAACACAAGGTAGGTTGTGATGTAGCCAAGACAAATTAGAATGACTCTCAAAGAAATAAAAGTAGTAATTATTACTTTGAAGCACACACTCAAACTATTAACAAAATGTTGCTTTAATTATATCTACCTTAATGAACAGATAAAAACAGTTGGCAATTAGTTCTGTAATTGGTTATGTAAAGAGAAATGCTTCTTTGAGTTGTAAAGCATATGTTGTGTACACAATTTATGAGAAAAAAAGATGCTTCTTCAAGTATTAAAGCATGATGCCCTAAAGAGCTGTCACATCCCAGAGTCATAGGCACCTCTATTTCATGGGTTCTGCAAAGGTAGACTTTCCTAGTTGTAGCTGGATCAGTAACAGACACTTCAAAAAGTTTTTACTCTAGATGTGAGTGACTCTAAGAAACAGAATGGTTCAAGTCTCTGAAACTCACAATCTCTGTGGTCTTACCATTTCCCTTATTCTCTCTATGGTTCAGTCTCTTAAATGGAGGTAATAATAGTGTCCACTTCACTTAAGCTTTGTAAGTTCTGCAAGGTCACACAAAGAAAGGACACAACATAAAAAAAATCTAATAAATGCTATGTGGATCCATATATATTATGCTACTTTACTATTGCTGGCATAACAAATTGAATTCAGGAACCAAAACAGCACATATTTACTACCTTGTAGATTAAAAGTTCAACACTGGTGTAATGGGTCTCACTAAGGTGTTGGCAGGGCTATGTTCTATTTCAAGTGCTCTTGGAAAAAATCCATATTCTTGCCTTCCCAGATTCTTGTGTTCACTATGTTCCTTGACTTATGACCTATTCTTCTGTCTTTAAAGCCAGCAACATTGTATCTCTCTTACCATTTCCACCTACTCACATTTATTCTGACCCCAGTTAGGAAAGGTTCTCCAATTTTAAGGACCAAGATGATTGGATCAGATACTTCAGACTAGTCTTCCTATCTCAAGGTCTGTAATCTTAATCACATCTGCAAAAGAATTTTGTCACGTATGATAACATGTCCACAGGATTAGGTCATGGACATCTTTAAGGGGACTATTATAATGTATATATTTACCTGCATGTACTTACAGTGATTTTTTTCATAAAGGAAAAATGAAAGATCAGTCCTCATAAGTAGATACTCTTCTACTCTTCTGCACTTCCCATGCATCCTACAACTTTCTTATACATGACTGCAAGTGAGTTCCTACAACATCAAATGTAAGTCCACTGTACAGTTAGTTCAAGAACTTAGGTTCCACAGTCCTTCTACTTTTGCAGCTCCCTTCCATCATCATTAAACCAGATCACAACACACAATAAAAGTGTAAGTAAAAGAAACCTGCTCACCCCATGACATCCAGGAAGCATAGAGAGAAGAAAGGATCTAAGGACAAGAAAACATACTTCCAGGTCACATTACTAGTGACCCACCTCCAGCCAGACCCCATCTATGAACACATGAAACTGTGCTGGACATTTTAGATCTAATGTGTAACCTTCTGCCCCTGGCCCCCAAAAGGCTCATGTTCATTTCATTATGGAAAATGCAGCTAGTCCATCTTCAGAGTTATCAGAGTTTTAACAGATCCAGCATTGCTGAAAACAGTTGATGTCCAAAGTCTCCTCTTGGACTCAAGGCAATCTTTCAGCTGTGACACCCTGTAAAAATGAAAAAGAAAGCTAAATACTTCAATGTACAATGCCAGAGGGTCAACATTTCCATTTCAAAAAGGAAAATAGTGAGATAGAAAGAAATTTGTGACCCCATGGAAAAGCCAAAATGAGTCTAACCACCAAGGAACACAGGGATTTTCAGTGAGCTGCCCAGGAAGGGTGAGGCTTGGTGCTCCACCTCCTGTATCAAAAATGACAAGAGAAGGAGCAAAATGCAATCTCAGAATTCCACCCCACCCAGCACGAGTCCAGGAGACAATGACATAGGAGAATTCAGAAATCATGCACCTGAAATTTTTGAAATGATAGCAACTGAAGTAAGGAAACAACTCCATCAGACCATAGAAGAAATCAGATCAGAAATAATCTCTCCAGTAAAAAAAGAAATGACAACAATAATGCAAGAATTACTCAGCACATCTAAAGAATATATAGATTAAAAAATAGAAGAGCATAGAAAAATGGAAAACTTGATTGAACAGTATAGGAAAGAATTAGAATGCATGAAACAGATTCAAAGTGATATCCAAGGAATTAAAAATTCCATTGAAAGCTGGCAAAACTTCTTGAATGAAACTGAAGATAGACTTTCAGACCTTGAAGAGAGCATTGCAGCTAATGATCATGAAAAAAAAGGTCTCTTAAAAATAACAAGGAACCAACAATTCAACAGCTGCAAGATCAGGCAAAGAAACATAATGTAAGGCAAATAGGTGTCAATGAAAGAGCAGGAGTCAACAGAAATGACATAAAAAGATTATTTGCAGAAGTAATAGCAGAAAATTTCCCAAGCAAGGAAAAAGAATCTGACATACATTTAAGTGAGGCATATAGAACTCCAGTTAGCCATAACTCAAATAAATCTCTGCCCAAGCATATAATAATCAAGACCCAGAAATTCAGCAAATGAACAGAATATTAAAAGCTGTTAGAGGAAAGAGACAGATCACCTATAAGGAAAGCCCATCAGGATCATGGCAGATTTCTCAACACAAACCATCAAGTCAAGAAGAGCTTGGAGTGAAGTATTTTAGGTCCTGAAAGAAAACAACTTCCAACCCAGATTGATGTACCTATTTTTCAAAATTAATGGGAAAATAAAATAGTTCCCACAATAAAGAACAACTGAAGAAATTCATGAGCATTAAACCAATCTTACAAAGATTACTGAAAGATATTCTAGAAAAGATAAAAATGGCCACAATTTCCGGAACAACAATAAGAAGGGACCACCAAACAGAGCAAACAATTAAACAGAGTGAAAAAGTAGGGAACCAATAGCAAGAAAATAACATGACAAAGATAAGCCAATTCATATCAGTTATAACCATTAATGTAAATGACCTCAATTCACCAATCAAAAGAAGCAGACAGGAAAGGGATCAAGAAACAAAATCCAGCAATATGCTGTATACAAGAAACATATTTAACTCAAAAGGAAATTCATAGACTGAAAGTAAAAGGATGGAAAACAATTCTCCATGTGACAGGAACTCAGAAAAAAGACTCCATTAACAGTCGCACAGGAAAAGACCCAGAACATCATGGAGTCCTTCGAAAACCCATTCAGGATGTTCCTGCCTTCGCTAGAACACCGGGCCCACATCTCCCAGGCAGCATTTCGACCTATCCTCGAAAATCTATGAAATCAACAGCTGTTGAAAGCTGTCCAGCCAGGTACAAGTACAAAAAGAAGCTAAAGAAACTTCCAAGAAGGCAGCCAAGCAAACGGAAGCCTTGGAACAGGCCAAGGAAGACTACAGAGCCACCACAGAGCAGGCCATCTCTGTATGACATCTGGCTGTGCTAGGAAACGCTGCCAAGAAGAGAGAGCGAATGACAAGTGACCCAAGGACCACAGAACAGAAACAGGAGAAGAAACGATTCAAGACTTCCAAGAAGCCAAAAGACCCAGCTCCATCTGAGAAACAGTTCACTCCTGTGACTATAGCTAGTCAGACTTGAAGGCTTTCACTGGAGATGGTAAATCCAAACCTTCCTCCCAGTTTGACCTGAACAAGCAGGCCATGGCTGGCAAGAAATGCATTACAGCCAAAAAAGTGAAACAATCATTGGGAACAAAAGCATGTCCTTCCCAATGGGAAAGTCAGACAGAGGCTTCAGGTACAGCTAGCCAAAGAGATAGTGCTGGAAGAGACCTTGGAACGTGGGCACTGGAGGTGCCAGTGTGGTGCTGGTTTTGTACGGACTCATTTTTAAATCATTAAAACTAACCCTCCGAAGAAAAACAAAAAAAAGCGGGGGTAGCTATTCTGTTTGCAGACAATGTGACCTTCAAACCAAGAAGGATCAAAAGAGATAAAGAAGGTCAATACTTGTTAGGGGTAAACTTCAAAAGGAAGAGATAACAATCATAAATATGTATGCACCAAATATAGGAGCACCCCACTGTATAAGACAAATCTTAATAGATATGAAAAACCAAATGACTATTAACATATTTGTAACCCCATTGACACAAGAAGATAGATCTAGACAAAAAAAATCAGCAAAGAAATAACAGAAGTTAACTAAACTTGTGAACAAATGGACTCAGTAGACTTTTGCAGAGTGTTCCACCCCATAATATCAGACATGTTCACTGGAAGAAAGATAGCCTCTTCAAGAAATTGTGCTGGAAAAACTGGTTCTCCACATGCCATAGACTAAAACTAGAATCACGTCTATCACCATGCTGTAAACTAAAGTCAAAATGAATCAAAGATCTAAACATTAAAACAGAAACACTAAATCTACTGGAAGAGAAAATAGGTAGAAATCTAGAAGACATAGGGGTAGGCAGAGTTCATGAACAAAATCCAAACTGTACAGGAAATACTTCAAAGAATCAACAAGTGGGATCTCATCTTATTGAAATGTGTTTGCTCATTAAAAGAAGTTACCAACAGAGTAAAAAGAAAACCCACAAATTGGGAGAAAAATTTTAGCTAACTGTCCCTTGGACAAAGGACTCCTATCTAGAACATATAAAGAATTTTTAAAAATCAGGCCCCCCAAATTCAAAGACTCAATCCAAAAATGGGCATCTGAGATGAATACACACTTCTCAGACAAAGAAATACAAATGGCAAATAAGTACATGGAAAAATTTCAACATCATTAGTCATTCGAGAAATGCAAATTAAAACAACACTGAGATCCCATCTCACACCAGAAAGAATGGCTATCACTAAGAAATTGATCAATAACAAATGCTGGAGGGGCTGTGTGGAAAAAGGAACTCTTCTTCACTGTTGATAGGAGTGCAGACTGGTGCAACCACTGTGGAAATCAGTCTTCAGATTCCTCAGTAAACTAGCATTACAGGTCACGTTCAACCCAGCTATTTCCCTCTTGAGTACTTTTCCAGGAGAACTGAAAACATCATACCACAGGGTCACATGGGCACTCATGTTTATAGCAATTTGTAATAGCTAAATTATTTGGAAACAACCCAAATGCCCATCAACTGAGGAATGGATAAAAAATGTGGTATTTTTATATAATGGAGTATTATTCAGCTATAAATAAACTCAAGGATTTTATAGGTAAATGGATGCAACTGGAGACCATACTCATAAGTGAAATAAATCAGACTCACATGTGTAAACATCATATTGTCTCCCTAATGTAAGAACCTGAAAGAGTAGGTAAAATCATAAAGGTAAATAGACATTGTAAAAGGGAAAGAAAGTGCTTAAAAGGAAAGAACAACTGGGATGAGAGTAAAAGAAAAGAAAGAAGGAAAGGAAACATTATGTATATATATGTATACAAGATAGCTAAGATAATTGTACTACTACTTTCTATTGGATTATTGAAAGGAACAGTTAATGTTTAATTGTTTGATCAATCTTACATGCCTATATCTGGTTATCTGAGTAACCAAACTGAATACAACAAGATGTAATACAACAATCATTGTTAATTTCCCACCACATTTTTTGAAATTCTGAATCATTTTTAGTGGTTTTCTATTGTTTTATGTCTTTGTATTTGTAAATTTATTTTTGTTCTTTTCTCTTTAAAATAAAAACAAAAAACAGAAGTTGGATGAAAGCAAGGCACACATCAAATTTTACATATCCATGTCCAGCACCCCAGACAGGTTGTGGTGAGATGTGAGCTCTAAAGAGCTTGGACATCCCTGGCCCTATGGCCTTGCTAGTTGCAGCCCACATGGCCTCTCTCTTGGTAGGCTCTGATAGCTGCCTACAGTTTTATTCAACATGCATTCCACAGTCCTAGCATTTCCATCTGAAACCTTCAGCTTCACTCTCACAACTTCACATAATGCCCTCTCAGGGGCTCTTGACAAGGACTGTGATTCTGCAAAACATTTTTCCCTTCCCTACCAAATCTTCTGAAATCTAGGTTAAAATCCTTATGATCCCATAACTCTTACATGCCTGAAAAACCAGCACCATATGGATGACGTCAAGGTATGACACCAGCTTGAGTAGGAGGAAGACCCTTTTGGACCATGGCTGCAGTGACCTCTGAGTGCCTGAATAGGTGAACTTGTGGAAATACTTCTCTGAGCCTATACATCCTTGAAGGAGCAAGAGTGCCCTGAACCTCTCTTCTCAGAGCAAACTTTTTCAAAGTTTATCTTTTTCCACCCCTGAAACTGCAATAGCTTTTAGGTGGAGTCTGATCCATTTCTGAGATGTCTTCAAGCCATTTTCTTATCATCCTGATGCAAAATACTTGGCTTCTTTTTAATTCTAATCTCTTCAGTAAACACATTCTTCTTTGTCCCAATTTTACAATCCCTTCTTCTCTAGCCAAGTTTCACCTCAATGCTTTTTAGCCCTGATTCTCACTGTAAATATTGCTGAATGCAGCCCAGCAGTATTCCTTCCAAAGCCTGAACATTGGGTTACTTTGAAATTTCCCCCACCAAATTATTTAGTCTGCTACACTTAATCGCAGTCTCCCACAAAGACTCAGGATAGGCAAAATGTAGACAAACTTTCTGCCAG